CCCACACCCACACCCGCACTCACACCCGCACCCAGAACCAACCCACACCCACACCCCCACCCACGCCTAATGATGAAAGAGTATGTCAGACTAATCTCATATGTGAATAAAAAGCCTTTAGCGCAATCTTATGGGAATATATTGTGAAACACAATGGAATCGTTTTATTTATATAACAGGACTTTCACTGCATTGACCATGATATGTGAGAAACTCAAGATGTACCATTTCGAAATGTCTGCGACGGTGTAAGTAGCCAGGTTGAACAAGGGTCATTGTTCTTGCCAGATTTCCATTAACTTCATGAAATTGTTCATAAAAAATCAAAGATGACTTTCAAGAAGTGATAATGGATCATTCATGTACAAAAAATGTTCAGTTTTATCAAATGGAAATCAATTTCTGTGATACAGAAGAATCTACTTGTAAACAGAGATCTGATCCATCTGTATCATTGAAAAGTATGAGTAATCACAAAGCTCTAAATAAACCAGACTGACGTAAGTAGTGAAAAATCAACTCACAACCTATCTCACGATTAGACGACTTCGTATATGATTTGTTTTTCAAAAAATACCATGCTAGTCTCAATTTTCGCTTTAGGAGACTATATGTCATACCAATGCTTCATCGAAGTTCGCCTTTGATTTCAATATCAATTCAAAATTGGATTTTAAAAGCGAAAAGAAAACTTGACGTTAAATAAAGTCACCCTCAGAAACATATTGTACAGCTATTGTTTTAGGAAATAGTGCAAGTCGTTGATCTCATAAGTGCTTCTTGACGCTGTCTTTCTGCTCTAAATCGATTCGCGAGTCGTTGCATGGGCTCATAGTAATATGCACGCATCCAAACCTGCTTATAAGCCATAATTTTTTTCACTTGTCGTGACTGACCACCAATAATAATGGATTGAACAACCATTAATTGACGTCTAACTTGACCTATTTCGTAAAACTCATTATTGCTATCTTGACACAGCGCTGGTGCATTGAAAAAGACCTTGTCCTCTAATTCATCCGGTGAGAGTGTTGCAGCCAGTAGGAAAATTAGTCGATCTTCTTCATCTGACATATTTCTCCAATTTGAATAGTTCCGATATCGACGAATATCATTATCATTATACTCAATAACAGTGCATACACAATCCAAATAGTACATTATTTTGGCAATATCAGCATTTGGTATATTGACTGTTGTACCGAACTTCTTGAAATCGTATTCAGTACTTCCAAAAGCTGCCATACCGCTTAGATGAAGTTAACGGTGAAATTCTACCAACTACTGTTTAAAAAGTTTTTTTCTCCAAACTCTTCTACATGATTCAATGATATATATATATATATACGTATAGTTCTTTTTACTTCCGTTGTCAAGCAGAAAGACAAAAGAACTAAAGTACTGATAAATGAGTTAACTGTAGTTGAAGATAATAAAATACTTAAGCGTAGTGTTCTCTTAGAAAGACAATGTTTACTTGGAAAAAACCTGACACAATAAAAAAAAACTTCTCCTTGCGTTGAGAGAACTTTCGAATATAAACTGAAATTCTTTTGTTCTGACAAACACGTTTCTGCATCTTTTTTTAGTCTTTTTTTGTAACTTCATATACGACAAGTTCTCTTATCAAACATATCACTATATGCCATACATACACGAGTTTCTTGGTAGGGATGTATAGGTATCGATGGGTAAGTAGATGCAAGTAGTTCTTTGGTTCACTCATAACCATCCACATCCATAGGCTACATTTCACATCCACACGCCCAGCTTCGGTAGATATGTTGGCATGACGTCGAAAGTATTTTCGTTGACACTAAGCAAATAGA